AATATTTATGATCATGTTTGAATATAAAATAGATAGGTAAGAAGCCCGGATAACGTTTTATTAAAATTAATTATTTATGCCTACTTTGCAAACCTCAACCTGTAATTGTGTTTATTATTATAATTTGCCAATTATTAAACAGTATTTATTATATTTGGAAGCCCAAGTCAGTACATAATTAACATTTTATACATCAAATGAATTAAATAACTCTTCTCTTAAATCGAGGACATTCCGACTATGTATTGTATTCGCTTTGAATTATAGTGTGTAGTGTAAATTTCAAACAATATTCGAGCAGCTTTTAAAGCAATTTTTACGAATCATTTCCGAATTTAGTTGTGTGAAAATATAATTTCACTAAGTAACTGTGTTTTCTCAGGTAATAACGTTTTATAATAATTAACGTCTTTTAACATAAATTTTGTGTTTCTACATTTGTAGGTATACAATAATCAAATATTGATTTATTTGTACAATATATGCGGATATCTTGTTTAATATAAATAATTGGTTCAATAGAATAGACTAGCAGTGATTCGAAACGTTCATTCTTTATAACACATTTAAATGAACGTCTGCTACCAAGTTTATTCAAAAAATGCACAGCTTGAAGATTAACACACCTTACAGCTTGTAGGTAGTTATACTGGCTCCCTGTACCCTTTAGACTGAAATTGAACATCATCGCAAGCGCTGCAGTTCAGCGATAGATATAGATAAGAAGGTGTTAGTCAGACCAGCCGGACTCTAAGGCGGATAATTTATAATTTAAAATTTAAAATTTTGTATAGCCGACTTCAATATAAGTTATTAAGAATAACTCAAAAACTATTGGTCTGACCTTGATCAAAAACACGAGAAGTACCAGCTTTCAAATAAAAAAAGAATCATCGAAATAGGTTCACCCAGTAAAAATATTTGAGGTAACACACATTAAAAAAAAACATACAGTCGAATTGAGTACTGTCACCTTTTTGGAAGTCGGTAGAAAAAGGAGTCCTACTCCTACCTAGTAAATTTAACAAGAAAATGCAGCCGAGACACTGCCGTATACGTACACTATACGTATATGATTTATTTTTTTAGGTTTTTATTATTATAAAAATATTAATCAGTTATATATCGTAGAAAAAAAATGAAATAGTTGTAACTCGAAACATACCACTGACTTTCCGATCTAAAATACTGGTGGGAAAGTTCTAAACAGACATTCTAATGGCGAGTACAGTGCAGCATTGCGGTTCACCTTGTCGCTACTGCGGTCGTTTTGCAGTGTGGCGAAGGAATGCTTGCTGCAATTTGTATAATCTTGGCTCCGCCGACTAATCTCACATTAGGAGACATATTGATTTGTGTTTGTGTCTGCGTTAAATGGTCTATTAATATAACCATTTAACACAGACTCGCATTTTAGGCAAGAATCGCATTGTAGGCAAGAAATTTCAATTTGAAGTTCTTCAACTGAATTTTAAGTAATTAGCTTAACTAAGAGGTGGAGCCCCATTTCTGCCTAGAAATTAGTCTAGGTTACCTACGCTTTAAGATAAGAGAACCAGTATAATTACAGGCATTTAATCTTAATACTCAATTGCGAAAACGCTTCTATGGATTTTGTTTAAATCTATTTAGGAACTGTAGTAGTCACTTGCCGTCAGTTCACTCTTATTCTGTAAAAGATACCATTATGCTTTTTGTATATGACCGTGTAGTGGCGGTGTAAGAATATCCACTAGCCCCATATCGTGGGTTTCGTAAGTGGCGACAGAGGGAAACAAACCAAGAATTGAGCAGCTGCGTCTTCCTAATAACAACTAAAAAATTGATGACCTATATTCAGCAACGGAATTTTGATAGGCTATAGCGATATCGGTACAATAAAGAATCAAAACAAATTCATGCAAATATTCGGATCACACAAAATCATCACTGCCATTCTAAATAATCCCATGCTCATCTCGTTTCCACGCTATTCGCATTTATTCTTCCTCTTCATCAGCCCGTAAGAAACTATTGAACTTACTCAAATGATTTGGCCGTAATCGCCACGCTTGGCAGTCGATAGTACCGGAAGTTTCACACTTTTGATATCCGTCTGGGTAACATGCAATTATACTATATGTGGTATAAATACGAGATTATTATATCACCATCTTTCGACGCCCACAAGATCTGTCTGGTCATTTCTCTTTAGTCACCTCTTACAACATCCGAGGTATAAGATGGGGTGATAGAATATTTTTGGCAGACAGAGTTCAATAGGTACATTTATTTTTGTAATAATGTAATAAATTAGTGATAGAATACATGTTTACGTGGTAGAGCCACACTGCAGCTATGTTATGGTTGTAGCACGAATGGGTCGGTTCGACCGGGGTAGGACAACGCTCTCACTGAATACCAACGGGAAATAGCAGCTTAATGCTGCTGTGTTTCCTATGGTGAGTGTATAAAACCGGAAATTCTTTTTACTGGAAACGAGGCATTCTATCTTAGTCCTCAGGGGTAACAACGCATCTGCGTTTTGATTCTTAATTGACACTGGTGCTCGTTTGTCACCCTTATCTATACATATAATAAAACTGTAAATAGCAGATGTCTGTACATTTTATATTTTTGTAATAAAAGTGATTGAGGGGTACTAAAAATAAGTATTTAAATACATTTCTACCATTTTTAGAATTTTCTGTCTGTCTGTCTGTCTGTCTGTCAGTTTGTCTGTTAACGTATCACGTTTAAAGTACTAATTTATATCATAAGAATTGTTAAGGAAATTCTAAAGTGTACCTTCGGGTTACATTTAGTCTTTATTTCATTAAAATCGGTTCATTCCATCAAAAGTTATGATAAATATTCTGAAGTATGGGTAGGGAATTTGCATAACGGTGGCTTTGTTTGAGTCATCAAGTTGATGTTAGCAGCGCCATCTCTCTTTAAATATATACATATAATAAAAATGATGATAACATGTTGTGTATCTTTCTGTACATTGTATATATATTTTGGTGACTAAAATCATTATGGGGAACTAAAAATAATTTAATAAGTACATTTTTATAATTTTTAGAATTGTCTGTCTGTCTGTCTGTTTTTATATGAATGCATCACGTCTAAAGTAAACATCTTTTTTTTTTTCAAAGAAACCGTTAAGAAATATCATAAAGCGTATCTTCAAGTTACATTTAATCTTTGTTTTATTAAAACTGGTTAATTCTATCGAAAGTAATGATTATTATTTTAAAATGTAGGTTCGAATTTGTTCAATGGCGCCATAAAAATCTCAGAAATAGTAATAAAAAGATTTGTGTGTAAAAAAAACGTTCCATAATAATTAATATATTTATACTTAAAACATAAAAAGAGATTTAAAAAAGGATGTTTTCTCACACAAAGGACGTAATAGATGGAGTTGTACAAATTACAAACTTTTCTGATTTGCTGTGTTGAGATTTTTCGCCGATGAATCGTATTGAGACTTACTGAAGAAATTTGTATCTATCGAAGCCATACAACGGAACCCGAACAAAAATAACATAATTGCAACGAAATGTCGTGATATTGTATTTATAATATACGCAAAATCAGTACTGCCATTTTAGCGCTTTGTGAACTAGATTTAGCGCTTTTTTGGAATGTATAGCGCGCATTTCGAAATTTTAGCACCTAGCACTTAATCCAGCGCTTTTTGGTGTATTTAGCACACATTTCAAAATTGTAGCGACTAGCGGGTTATTAACTCTTTTATAGCAGCACTGTTAGTCCACATTACCGATAATAATAATAATGACCTTTATTATTTTCCACAAATAGTACATTGCAGTTTATCTTTATCAAACATATTTTTTCCACAAAACAAAGAGCATGGGAGACGAGTCCAAACTAGGATACCCTGTGCTATGGATCTCCCGGCTTCCCCTTTAGGATGATCAACTTGATTTTTTTTATCGACGACTATAAGCGGGGAAATCCCCTTCATTAAAGTTTTCGTTCATGGTTTTGGCAACGCATTTATTTTGCTTTATTCAGTTTTAGTCAGTTGTTTAGAGCACAGCTAAGTTAAAAGTTACTTAGAGTAGTACTAACTACTGTTGACAGCAATTGCCATAATTATAAGTCGATGTCCTGCGAAGTATTGATACATCAAAAAAATATTGCCAGAAAAAAATTTAATGTTGTTTTCTTTATTATAATTATATTTTCTTGAATTATATATTTTGTAGTTAATTTAGCGCGAAATCTAGGGCTTTTTTAAAGCGCTGTTTTCATGAAATCTAGCGCTTTTTGTGTTGTCCTAGCGCTGAATGAGTTTTTTTGATCTGGCAGCACTGCCAAAAATCCCTCTATTAAGAAGTAACTTTCCTTTCAGTTTTAAGCGCGTTCAGTTCCCAGTTACAGTCAGCGTGTGTTATGCGATGACCGTAAATAAAGCGCAAGGTCAAAATTTACGCGTTGTAAGAGTGGACCTCGGTACTGACTGTTTTGCATATGGCCAACTCTATGTTGCTTTTTCCCGCGATAGTAGCCCCCGTAACCTTTTTGTGTACACCCCGTCTAAGTCTACTTCTAACGTCGTTTACACCGAAGCTCTATCATAAACTACTTAGAACTTTGATGATAATGATTTATTTGTTACCACTTATTGATACAGTAATGATATAAATCGTTTAATATTCTCTTACCTAAACGACAAATTCTTTATGTAAAATCTATATACGCGAGCTACGCCGCGGGCACAGCTAGTACAAAATATATATGTATATATTATGATAAAGCAGAAAAATAAATAATTTTACTTCAATTTCGTAGCACATACAGCTCCTTAATTGTAATTCCGTATGAAATGTACATTTAACTTGAAATGATAAGGAATTGTATCGATAGATTTCATTGCCCTATTTTTGAAATACGTTCACGTATTAAACCCTGATATTAGTATTTCTATATCTTAAATAAGTACACGTTACTGATTACAAAATATTGATTATATTTATCTTTTACAGCAACTTAAAGATGAACTGGGCGAGGTCGTGGCGGAACTCGAGGCTCTGGACGGCCAAGAGGAGTGCAAACAGAACAGTAAAGCCAAACAGATGAGTATAGGCAGAAAGAAATTTAACATGGACCCAAAAAAAGGTAAGACAATCTTTTCTTAATGGTTTTAATATCATATTTTTAGCCCGTTATATATTATTGGCAGTTGATCGAGTAGGTAAGTACCTACGAGTATACATGGCGTAATTAAGATGCTCGCTACTTTTTTAAAGTATAGTAAAATATAATTTTTATATTATACGCTTGAACCCTCATCAATAAATAACGGATTATCAGATTAATTTTCTAAAAATTTTAATCATTTACGCAATGTAAAATAGTGAAAATAAAAATAAGCTTTAAGTACGTTTAACTGTGATTACGATATATAAAAACAAACCATATTTAATACTAAATTTTCCAAGTCAGTACTTGGTAATAGCAGTTGTGTTTCTACAATTACATACTTGTTGATGTTGTTGATGCCATAGGTACTGAGCCAAGCAGTCATTGTATCATTCCCATGCGGCAGGTGCAGCGTTCCCACGCTCGTAGCGAGGGTTACCATGTTTTCTTTTAGTTGGCTACACTTTCTAGTTTGTCTTTAGAAAACTTACGTGAACTCTTATGCTCTCAATATCCTCCTTATTAATAATTCTTTATTTCAGATGTCAAAGATCCATAAGTTGTTAGTACGATTTAAATTAGGTTAGTAATTGAGAACATTAAATAAAATAAATAATTTTTTTTAAATCAAAACTAAAACCAAATCTATACCCAAAATGAAATCACAATAAAATCAAAAATAAAAATAATAATCAAACAATAGTAATGTCAAAAAAATAAATAAAAAGAAATACAACCAAACAAAAAATCAAATAAAAATCAATTGAAATAAATTTTAGGTTAGCGTTAAAGATAACCGGTTTTTTCATTCATTCCAGTATATCAAAAGTCCACTGTTGAATATAAACCTCCTCTATAAAACTATCCTCTAACCTCTTAATGTGAATATTTGCCATAGTTATCGCGTTTAGACAGGCAGATTGGTAATCGCAGTTTTTTTATTATTTTGAGCTGTTATCTAGTTAAGATATTGCATTACGTTATTGGCGTAAGAGAATCCATAGATCCATATCATCACCTGATATTGATGATGCCAAAGCATCGTCCTGATAAAAACACGAAATAACGGCCTAATATTTAAAAATTCCACGCCCACTGGATGGAGTGACTACCTGGTAAGAAACACAGGTAATTGATGGATGCAGATGGCTTATAGGACCGTGCTTTGCGGCATTTCTTGTTGAAGGCTGAATTGTGATAAGTAAAATAATAGAATTAATTTGAAAAGTGGAACTCAACCCTGTGCGTGGCCTATTATACACTTTCCAATTCTTTGATCTAAATGAGAAGCGAGAGTGAAGAATAGCGCAGACAAATCTGATAGACGCAAAATAAATTGTTTTCTGCATTAATATAAATTTTCATCATTATTTTGGGAAACGAAATGGAGCAAAATAAATTAACATTCAAAACATGAATGAACCTATATAGAACCCAATCCTGTTTTTTATAAAATTATATAATATTATGGAAACCCTAACCATAACTGACGATTCCACAAAACATGTCAAATATTTCTATTCCGGCTTTTGTACACCTGCTGCAACCCAATTATAAAAATAATTATGTGACAGAATTATACAATAAATATACTACATCAGATAATATTTATCCTTGCATTGTGGTATTTATTATGGCAAAATGGGTTTAGCCAGCTGCTAAATATGAATTATGTTGTCTGTTACCTTCTATAAATTTATACATGTTATTAAAATATTTTATCTTCTATTGAGGTGGTAATATCTATCGCCTTGCTTACTGCTACACTAAATTAGTGTATGCATTTTCATTACCCCAATGAAAATGTCATTAGCCCATTTAGTCTCGTGGGTGCTCGTTATGCAAAATGTTAGAGAAAACATGACTAACGACAGCTCCTTTACGCTAGACGTAAAACAACCAGAGCGGTGTGGCGGCGACGGGTAGCTGCGTCAAACATAGAAGACATCTGGTACTGTGATCGTAATCCCTATCTTAAGCCTGGAGATTAATAGATCTTTCCTACAAGTAGTGTATTTTCAAAGGGCTGATGAAGTAGAATGTTTTTGTATGAAGTTGCCGTTTTAAATTTAATAATTATTAATAAATTTCTCAGAGAAAACATATTAATTCAATCACGAAAGATCATTTTTTGCTTTTGTGATAGAACTGTGGGGATGCGGACATAGTCTATAAAGAAATTTCGCTTTCTGATATTTGAGAACTCAATTTTTTACGCGAGTACGAAAGGTGACGGTATGGTTTCTAAATGCAGGTGTTGTAATGTTAAAATAGATTTTTAGAGCAGTGTGAGGTCATGTATTATCATGGATCAATAATAGTGAAAAAAGATTGAAGAGTCGGGGTTGTTTTTCTGAGACTTTAGCTATCATTGTTCACTGTTTCTCACAATAGTCATATGCTGTCCATTGGTACACCGAATCTCAAAAAGCTATAGTAAATTACACCATGAAGTGACTAGCTTCTACGGTGACCATATCAGTGGCTTTGTTTCAATATTTGACCTGGATTCAGCCATTGTGGTTTACGCTTGCAATGATCATAGAGAGTATACTTTTCATTGCACGTCACATTTATATCCAAATTTTCATTTATTTCTGTACCAACTCATCAAAGCAAGGCAAGCTACAACGCGAGCTCTTTTATGCACATCAGTTATATCATGAGGCACCCTTTTCTTAATTAAAAAAAAAGTTGTTAATTAAATAATAATAATTACTGCCCTTCACAAGTCCGCTGCTGAACTATGGTCCTGTGCCACCTGCATCAGTCGACTTCCTGCATATCTTATCAGTTCGTCTCTCCCATCTTCGCTTACCAGTACGAGATTACATAACCTTTTTCCCCTTCGAACTATGTGGCTGGCCGCTTGCCACTTCAGCTTACCACTCCGTTGGGCTATGTCCGTTACAATAATAAGACAATACTGTGGTTGAAGCAGGACGCTAATTCCTTGGTTGTATGATAAGGATCGGCTTGCACAGTTCCTTTCATTTCATCGTTGTTTACTGTAGTGTTTGGTCTTCGTCATATTTCATCAAGTGATAAATCAAAAACACAGTGTGTACTGTGTACGTTAGTCGTATCCTCTACAAATGTAGCCTTGACATTGCAAGCTGTCTCTGCAGCGTTAGAACCATCCCGGAACTCGTTATTCGAAAATTACTCAAATTTTTGAGGTCTTCATGTTTAACTCAAATATTGAATGTAAAAAGTATTGAACGTCAAACAATACAAAATCAGAAAGGAAAATTAATTTGAAATTTTATAATATAGAAAATATTGATCACCTATGTTATGACCTCAATTAAGACAAATTTCTCGACACCCTACCTATATTATGTATATTATGTTGAAATGCATCAAGCAGATTAGGCTACAGAGCGTGCAAAAGAAATAGACAAATGTACATAAATTAATACATATTAGATACATACATACGTACGTGCATACATACCCCGCTTCTGGTGCAGTTGGGCAAAAAATTACTGATTTCATATATCGATAAATATTAAATAGCACGAAGGTTCCAAAGAGTACATAATCGTTAAAGTTTTTTTTATTTGATATAAATTGAATTGATATCCCCTTCGCCATCTTTTATCCCAGTTTTGTCATAAAGTTAAAAATATTAAATTAATTCATGGTAAATTTTATAACATATGAATACTATAAGTATATTACCTAATTACCTGTACGTATGTGTTACTTGTAAGTAAATTAAAACGTTACTTATTTTCCACTTAGTTACGTGGTAGACTAAGGTTACGAATAATTAGGATGTGCTGTTTACCAAATGAATTATACTAATTAACTAAATAGCTTTCCCAGTAATAATTATTCTTTAGGCTTTCAGTATATTTTTGTAATTAATTTAATACAAACTAGCGATACGTCCCGGTTTCGCATGGTTAATTTCTGGATCTCGACAACGGCGCCGCCGACCTGGTACACCATTATAAATCTATATTCTATACCATTCAGGGACCCACTGAAACACACACACAAAAAAAATCATCAGAATCGGTCGAACCAGTTTCGATTTTTAGCGAGACTAACGGACGCAATTGATTTTTATACTCTTATATCGAGATAATGTAGTGTTAAGTATAGTTACATTCTAATATATATACTAATTCATTCTAATATATACTTACTAAAGGACCACCTATAGGATCCCAGCATAGATAGCTATTAGCTATGTACAATTGACTCTACAAAACAAATATATTGTGTGAATAAGACTTCAATCAGTCGAGTGTTACAGACGTTACACGATCACTAACAAACGCCCCAAAGATTTTATAATGAACTAGATGATACCCGCGACTTCGTCCGCGTTGCTTGCACACATCACTGAACACGTAGTGCTTATAAAAATCGTTGTTTCTTAATACTTTAACAACTTTATATTAAATGAAGATGTCGCAATATTTTTTTTAGATAAGAGCCAAGCGTCTAAGAAATAAAACTTAGAAAACCTCATTGAAATCTATCCAGTAGTTTTTCCGTGAGCCGCGCAAAACTGCAAACCTCTATCTTTTTATTTATATAGATATTATAAAGATGGGGTTGTTATAAACTAATTTGCTTAACTCCGCGTAAAGAAAGAAAATGATGTCCTGCCCAGTTTTAACGGGACCTCCCACCCTCCCTCAATCGCGCGCACTATACCCGTCGCCGTTAATCCCAGCACTACCACCCCCAGCACCACCACACTAGGCACGACACACCGCTCTTGAAAATACGACACGTGTTTCGTGTGGGTCCCTTTAAAACTGGGCAGGACACATCATTTTATTTCTTTACGCGGAATTAAGCAAATTAGTTTATAACAACCCCATTATAATGGATTTCCGCAAAGTAACCCCTGATTCTATCATTTATTATAAAGATATAAGTACCCACTTGTAAAATGTCGTAGCAAATACTAGCTAAAAGAATATATTATTATGTGAAAAAAAAATAGTTAAAAA